GGTAGTCATTTCTCTGTTTTCAGGCTATTTGGTGGAAGTGCTCAGTGACTCCAGTAATCTGTCTTTTTTCTGTCTGTGGTGGTTTTCTTTAATTCTGATAGTGACCTGGACCTTCACCCTCAGACTTCTTACAGCTGTATAACATTAAATCACACAAATCCACCTTTGCCACAAGAGCATCCTCAGGAAAGCGTAAACATTTATTTTACGACCATGTGAACATATCCAACAAAGCCATAGCTAAAGAAGATGTGTTTGAGTTTCACCTTGTACGTACCTGCACATTTTCTATGTACAGGTCAGTAAATCACCGATCCTTGCACACCTTAATTCTAATGTTACATCCTGGTGCACAAAGGTGATTCAACAGAGCGTAAGGTAGCATTTAAGAACTCTGGCTTTCCTTGGTGTCGTATGTAAGTATGAAAAGTACCTTCAGTGGCTCTGTGAAGGTTAAAGCCACATGCATTTGCCTTCATCAACCACTTAATGACAACACCACAGTTTGCACATTTAGGAGACCTTGACTTTCAGTTTGTGTAATTATGAGCTTAATGATCTGAGCTGTTAATTAAACTTCATATTCACGCTAAATGATTGCGTCTTCCTTCCCCCATCTCTCTTCCTCAGTCTTTGTCTCCCTTTTTTTCGTCTTTAATTCTTTGCAGCTCTCCTTTTACCTTTTCCTCTCCCTAGAGGAGGCATGTCATTGAGATGGATTCTGTCAATTTTCGTGTGTGTGTGTGTGTGTGTGTGTGTGTGTGTGTGTGTGTGTGTGTGTGTGTGTGTGTGTTAAAGAGCTGGCGAGAAAGCAGGTAAATGAGTATTGAAAACGTTTCAATTCATAATCGATGCGTCATCCGATCGGCTTTCTTGATAGGCCTTTTGTAGAAACCACCGATCAAACTATTTAGAAGAAAAATATCGAACTGATAACAATTCTTGGCCGATTGATGATTGATCGAAGCACCCTTGATCATGACCCGATGAATCTATTGCAGAGCGATAGATTTCAGCATATATAAGGCCTGCTTGACTTAGCAGAGCTGGACACCACACTGGCAGAATGTCTGTTGGACAACGAGACCATAATCATCTCAGAAAAGTCACTGCCAATGAGCTAAATAAATAGCCTGTCTTACAGCCTGTTACCTCACCAAGCACTCTCTCTGCTGCCCTGCTGAGATCATTGAACACTCGCATTGACTGCAGTTAGTTGACCTCAGCAGTGTGTGTGTGTGTGTGTGTGTGTGTGTGTGTGTTTATTTGAATCTTTTATTTCGCTCCCCTTACATTCAGCCTCCGTCAATGAACGGCCATCAACAGAAATGCAGGCTTTCATTGTGCTCGCCTGGCTTGTGGCTGATATTTGTGTGGGTGGAAATAGCACTGCTGGCTGAGGACGCTATTGTGTCGTTGCTTTTTGTTGCCAAAATGATGGATTATACTGGAAACGGGAGGAAAAGGACCTTTAGGAAACAATGACCCGTTTATCAGGACATAGTGGCTGCGAATGTGACACCGACTTATTTGCATGATGGATGAGCCTATTCTCGGACTTCAGTATTCATTTCATTTCACTTTGTGTACCTGTACGCTAATATGCGCTCACTGTTTGGCATCCTGAAGTGGTCCGTCTCCAAACTGCTGCACGAAAACCAAGTCCTGTTACCCAGAGCAGCAAAACACAGGAACTAAATACCTGTTCACACAAAAAATAGATAACATTAGTGACTTAACACTACTTTTTGAGATCTTGACTACAAGCAGTGGGACTTAGCTACGGGTCGATCACAGTCCAGGAGATCCTGAACGACAGCTGTTCAGCATGACAGACGCACATAGGGTTGAACTGTTGCCATGGTGCAACTTTGTCTTCACCTGTTTGAGAAACTTTTTGGGGCAAGTTCATTCGTAGTTCACCTCTATTGTTTTGCTCTGAAACCATTTATGAATGACCACAGCTTTGGAGTGGTGTAAAAATAATGCAATGTAGGTTGTAAAATACAGCCCTTCAGTTGTGTGAATCAGCATTTCTGCTATTTTTCTGTCCCCCCCTTTGCTTTTTGCCTTCTTCTTGTGTCAAAAAATGATTGAGGCTGCAGCTGAAATGACTACTATTTTGACAAACTGACAAATTTAAGAGCATTTTAGGTACACAATAAGGTGGCTCATCTAGGAGAGACATTAGGGATTATTCTAAACGACCTAAACTGAGTTGTGAGCGGTTATCTGTGCACATTAGAAACACCCTCACCAACCCTGTAAAGATGCTGCATTCGGGGGGAAAAGTCCGACTGAATAAATTGGCAGTTATGTAAAAACGAATGCCAACGGCAGATTGTGGTACAAGTGTTTTTATTAACACGCATTCACATCCTCATGTTATAGCAATAGATGCAGCGGCGGTATTATAAACCATATCGCTGCTGTATCTCGGCGTGGAGGCCGAAAGCGGCAGAGGGGAGTGCGAGCTGCTGTGGTGGTTGATGTGGAGTCAATGATGGGGCTGGATCAGACACGTATAGACTCGTATTAGAGCTTTCTGTCGTATTATGCTGCGTACACGTAGACAGTCAACCCCCGCGTGAAATCAGTTAAATTGCAGCTGTAATCATTTCCATGGAGGTCAGTCTTGCAATCCATCAGGCACAGCAACGAGTATATATATCTTGCATGTGCAGCGAAGTCAACATTACAGCAGATTACAACACCCCCATAAAAACGCTCATAAATCTCATTCCCGTAAACATCAAAGCGCTTTAGGACTCGAGGATAACGGCAGAAGTGCTTGAGCTTTCTCTCTATTACTTTATGAAAGTGTGTGTGTGTGTGTGTGTGTGTGTGTGTGTGTGTGTTTGTGTGTGGATGCTGTCCGTTTCCAGCAGGAAAAAAAAAAGGCGATTGAAGATTATGCTGCCGTGCGGAGTTAATCATCATTAGTACAGTCCACTTGAGAACAATAAGTCATCCTCCGCATCAGCATACAAACTATAATGTTATAACTATAATAATTTCCTCTGTATTAGCATGTTTCTGTTGTTGCTGTTGGATACATTCCCTCCTTTTAATGGACTTTGTACACTTTACTGTATAGGAAGTTCTCATTATTATTAATCCTCCTCATACTGATACGTGCAATATGTGGCACAAATTCAGTGCCACATATTTTTGATGTATCAAATGTCTATATTTTGGCAAATTGCTACATTGTTTATTAATTGTTAAATAATTGTAGCAGTAATTTGGACCCCTCGCATGACCCTTGGCAAACCTCACACTTGTTGTCCATCAGTCAACAAACACACAGAGAGCCAGGGCCGTTGTGTAACAGTCGGCATAGTTTGTAACCCGGGGTTGAGGCGGCGGATGGGTTCCCGCCCGCCTACGTTACAGCTCCTCCACTCGATTTCTGTTACAGAGGGATGCCGACGTGGCCGTGAGTTCTGCGTTCTGTCCAGGCGAATCTTGCAGAATCTCGGGGTGTGGAAGGATTCATGTTTTTTTATTATTTTTTTTTAAACCTAACAATTGCCGACCAGTGAAGCGTCAATGAGCGTCCACTTTCAGCAGCACAACAATGTATCACCAACAGGACGAGCCGACGCGGCGCGAGCGCTCATAGACGTAAATAGACACGCAGTCGGCACTTAAAGCTAATGTCTCTCCAGACAACCGTGACAGGTGGTTCTATGCATCTCAATTACACCCCGCTCATCCAGCATACCATTACAAACAATACAATGCAGAGGATTCTGGGAGAGGGAGGTAGGCAGTCACCTATCTGCATGTGTGTTCACGTATATGAACACAAGATTCCTACAATAACAGAAAAAGCACACACACACACCTGCTATGCATTTGATGTGCAAACGCTTGTGTTTCCACACTGTTGACTGTGGCCGCCTGCTGCGGCTCTGTTGTTTGACAGCGCTCACAGCCATTAGAGGCGGCGGAGGCGGAGGAATCCGTCTCAGTCTGATCTGAGATGTGTAAATGGACCGTGTCCGCCGACCAGGCGGTGTTGTTATCAGTTCATCATCAGTGTGACATGTTGCATTGGAGTGGATGGGGAACACCTGCTGTATTGTTGTGATTTTTGAGATGGCAAAAGTGTGAAAAATGTTCATTTCGCTCAGTCTGTGTATGAAAAGTTTCTGTGGAGTTTTCCTCTCTCTACAGCTGGCCACAAAGCAGCAGCATTCACACACTTGGCTGGGGTTAAGCGCCGTCAAAGCAAACTTTAAATGATCTCTCCTTGGCACTTCCCATTCTATTGAACCTCAGTACGTTTTGGATTGCAGACTACACTAAGTGCAGAAAGCTGCTATGTGATGGTCTAAAATGTTTTGTCTGACGGTCATAGCGTGAAATGCTGTAGGTAGTAGAAGGTTGGGGAACCCCATGCCCTGCATGGGCTGAAAATAACCCACAAATGAATATGAGACGGATCCAGAATAAAGACATTAAACAATGTCTCCAGCAAAATCTAGAGATAGACTAACTAGCAAAACCTGTGCTATTAAGATAATGGAGAACTAAAAGAATAAGTTAATTATTGCCTTTTTCCCCCTCCAGGCTTTTGAGAGAATGTTACGATGGTGTTATATGACAGTGAAATGGGCATTTTTGTCAGCTGTAACCACAGGTGATATTAAAGGTCGTCGGCGTTTTCATGTTTTCAATCTATTTCTGACACAGAACAGAAAAGAAAACATCACATTGTCCCCGTTCATCTGTTGGTGTAATGGTGTCATGGCTTTAACTCCAAATCAAGGTGGATGCAAATGCTTTGTTCAACACAAAGCTCTGTTTTAAACAGTGAGCAAATGCGTAAATGAACATTTCCTTTAGTCGTATTATAATACTTTTCTTTAAGCTTTATATCATGTTTTTTTTCTGCTGACTTACCCCTCTTCGAATATTTGAGAGGCTGTAACGGTGGCGTTCACGGTGCCCAATATTAAAACATCTCTCTTCTGTCTTTCCTCTCTCTGCAGTATGAGTTCAAGGTGAAAAACATCAAGAAGAAAAAAGTCAACATCGTGGTGTCTGTCGACGGCGTGAGAGTCGGCTTGAGGAAAAAGAAAAAAGTGAGAGACCTTTTTATTTGAACTCTCCTTTCTGTCTTCTATTCGAGGATCTTGTCCTTGGGTACATTGTATGTGTCTTAACAGGATGCGTTGATCCCATAGAAGGGTATGCTGACAAGAAGAAGAACAATGTGAACGTTGTTTAAACCAATGAACTGATGCTGATTTCAGTACAGGCTACAATGTCTGTTCTACTGGGCTGTGATTGGCTCTCCTTCGTTTGAGAGTTTCTTATCGCAACGACATGAAACTTCTTTTGATTCAGCAAGCTGCATACATTATCCAGAGTAACGACAGATGAAGCTGCTGGAGTCTTGTGAACAGTGTATGGATTCTACTTTGTTTGCTTCGTCCCCGCCATGCAGCTCATGAGCTGCGCCGCAGATATGAGGCTGACGGAAAAGATGAATTAGTGAGCGGGCTTTCAATTTCCTGCTCCCTGCGTGTTGGAACTCTCTTCTTTTGCTGAAGCGTCTGTCGATAGTCGGACATATTTTTAAATCATGCATAAAGATGACAGCCTTGGAAGTTATCACTCAACTGTTTTGCACATGCAGAGCCAAGAGAAAAGATTAAGGACACGATGGTGTTAGTGTTGAGACCTGGAGACAAGTGGGTCTGTGTTTCCCGCCGTGGTGACAGCTGTAATCCACAGAGACGGACCGGAGTGGACATCACCTGCCGAGAATCACCGGGAGTCTGACAGCCGGATGCAAACAAACAGGAGTCACTTAGTAGTACCGTCCGTCCTCCTCACCAGGCACGCATCCCGGTTTTTCATCTCAATTCATTAGTCCAGACTTGAAACCATTGTGTGTTTTTCTCAAGGTTCCAGGCCGCTCTGCTGGAGTCCCCAAAAATGTGTTTGACATTTAACATAAAAGAAGTATTGAACTGTTTTTACCAGCCTGCGTGTTGTTACTGCAGGAAGAGATCAGCTGACATTTTATAATCCACTCATAAGTCACATTTCCTTGTGTTTGCATTGAGATGACATACGATGAGATAATAATGCATCTAAATTCAGTGCAAAGCTGCGGCATTAGAAAGTTGCCACTAAAAATACTGTCAAATGTAATGCATTGAAATTTATTGAACAAATGAGCAGCTATTAGAATTCATGGTCTAAATAATAAAACTTTTAGTGCTGCAGCTTGAAGGGCGACATCTGTTGAAGAAGGTGCGGCCTTCCCACACAGTCATGACAATGTGGATATTAAGGATGTCTCTATTGCATGTAAGTAACAAAGGCGGATGTGTTGACCTTGACTTGTAAATACAGGCAGATGTACATCGCAGATCCACATTAGTGTCTCATTAAAAGGAGGCTTAGTTAAGTTGTCTAAACGGTCCTCTAAGGAGTGTGGACAGTGCTGCAACGTATCCTCATTCTACGGTTCGGATGATATCCCACGAAAAGTTACTCCTCCTTTTACGTGCGTTTTCCGACGAAAGCCAGCAACACTTGTCAGTTCCCGCTCATAACGTGCATGCGGTCTTTTCAAAATAAATTCACAGGAAACTCAGTTAAGTTTAGGCAACAAAACTTCTACGGCCGATGTGTGATTTTGCTGTCTTTATACGTCCTCGTTCAAGATTACGTGGATAACATACAAAACAATTTTGTGGGATACCTACAAATTTTGGCTCATTCTTTTTCGAAGGTATAGCTACGCATGCTGGATGAGACCAGTCTGGGATGGTACACGAATTGGACAATATGTGGAATATTGCTATGACCGCATACGATTATCTTTTTTTATCGGACCTGCCTGACGGCTGTGGCTCATGTGGGGTTGCGTTGTATGCGTTGGAAAAAGTCATAAAGTAAAGATTAGAATTTTAATTTACAGTGGAGAAAGTTAAGGAAGCAGCGTTTCCTCCAACCTTTCACCTCTAGTATCCGTCAGCTAAGATCAGCTCTGATTGTTCTGTGTCCCATTCTCTTAAAAACTCATGCCGTCCAGGTAGGTTTTTCTGCTGGTCAATATCAGATCGGGTCCATCTTGTCTGAAGAAACAAACCAAGGGAGTGAAGAAGGGAAGGAAGTGATTTCAGTGACGGTCCCTTCTGCGTCATATTGGCTGATGATGTTGATATTATCGCCGTCATCGAAAGGCTCAATGTCAACCGGCGGGCTGGAATGAAAGGACTGTTCGATGGAAGGATGTTTTGCCTCCACCTGGTTCCTCGTCTCGTTTGGGTCCCTCGCCAGAAAAGCTGAAATGTCAAGTGTGAGCGTCGGCAATCTAATTAGTACATCTCCGAGTGCGTCGGATGAAATGGAAGACCGGAGCTGTGTGTGTGATTGACTGATTGAGTCAACAAAGCTCTGCGGAGATAGAAATCGATATGAATAATTCCTGCGTGCTCATGTTTCTGACATTTTGATTGTGACATTAAAGTAGAAAGGTAGCTTTAAACAAATGGACAGACAAAAGGAAAATGGACAAATATAAATGAATGTCCCGAGGACGGAGTTGTTATGATATCTGCACCGTTCCTTCAGTCCGTAGCTTTATATATTAAAAAGCTTAACCCTGGTGTGAACCTACAGTGTTGCCTTTGTTTCCACAGAAGAAGGAGTGGACGTGGGATGAGAGCAAGATGATGGTGATGCAGGATCCCATTTACAGGTAAGCTGGCCACAGTTTGTACGTCACATTTCTTTTCTCTAGCTTCATTTAAAATGCTCATTTATTTTTGTTTTGAATTCCCCATTCTAACGGCTTCCGTCCTCGTGGTTCATTGGGCCCCGCTTCAAACGCATTTTAATCCAAACTTGATTAAATGCACCGCGGTGACTCAGGAAATGAGAATCTTTTGTCTCCGTCACTGCGGGCGCGGACATTTTGGAGAAAGAAAAGGATATTGTGGCTTGTTGATGATAACTTTTACTGACTCCAGGACAGGGTACCACACAGATTTAAAGAAAAAAAGAAATGAGTAGTTCGGAAATGTAGCTGCATAAACATGGTATATGGATGAGTAGAAGACCACTGAGAACCAGGAGTACAGACATGTGACAGCAAAATGTTGTTTTTTCTTCCCATGGCTGAACAATATATTGATTTCTTTCTAATATTGCATTTTGAGAAAAGGCAATTTAGCAGAGGCTGCAATAAAGGCCATTTTGAAAATGTATTTTAGTAGTGCATGGACTAAATGAGCGAAGCAAGGATATTGAAAACGAGTTATTGTAGCCGTCACAATATTGACACTTTCAGTTTTAATACCTCGAACCATTTGGGAATAGTATCGCCTCAACTTTTCATTAGTCCAACCATTGAAAACACCATAAAGGTTTATCATTCAAATGACTCGTATCCTTAATATGGTCAATATTGCTCTCTGTGAACCTGTTTAACACATTTTAACTGTGGCTGGCTAAAATGGAAAATAGACAGCGAGAAGGAAAAAGTGGAATACTACTGAGAGAATATCAGGCTTCAAAAGTCAGAGACCTTCTGGATTAAATGTAAGATCAGAATGAATGATTGATGCAGATCAGAGTAAATGTCATCAATAGACGCGGCCGCAGGGACAGAATGACAAGCATTACTGTGTGTGTGTGCGTGTGTGTGTGTGTGTGTATGAGAGACAGGAACAGTATGCTAGAGAGATCTGGGGTGACATTCCTCTGTTCCACCTCACAGGATTGTGACCATAAGGTCCAATTCATTCAGTCCAATTGCCGCAGGGGCATAATCCTTTGATTTTAACACACACACACACACACACAGAGGCACAGTACTGAGAGGCAGCTTGTGGCTAAGGTGGCTCAGACGGATTCGTTGAGAAATGAGAGGAATACTTTAAGATGTCCGCACCATTAATCTCTTTTTAGACACCACACACACACACACACACACACACACACACACACACACAAAGTCACATAGACGTTTGCTGTGACCTGTGATGGGTGCATGACTAAATTAGTAAGGAACAATCGTGTTCTATAGAGGAGTAGAAAGCCACAGACTTGAATGACTCATTCTTTATCCTCTGTTTCTCGGTACACACACACACACACACACACACACACACACACCCACACACTCTCACTCCCAGGCGGGCACAGCTCTGAAGTGCATCCAGGAGCCCCGGTGGAGCTTTGGGCTTTGGAAGTGATTCTGTCAGAAAGATGGATTTTGCCGAGCAGTTTGTGTAAGCATCTTTAGCTTAGAAATTGTGAAAGATCTTGTTTGGTTGGAGATGCTCCAGCTTGTCCCACTCATCTGAGCCTTGTGCCCAGTTTTTAATATTACAGTCACACCGCTGGGGGGGGGGGGGGCTCACAGTGTCTCTGTCTAGCAGAGTACGATGGGTAAGTGCCATCAATCAGTCCCCGCCGTCTGCCGAGCTGAGCTTGACGGATCCTGATGACATCTCATCTTTTCTGTTCATCTGATGGTGGTCCAAACAGTCGTCTCACTCATTCAATATTTGGCCTCCGCTGTGTGAAATGGAGCCTCTAATCCTTCCACCTGACGGGCAAGGATTTATACTTCACATAAAGCTGGGCACACACGCTGTAAGATTTCAGAAATGTTGTGTAACTCCAACTCACACAGTAGGAGCATAAACGTCTGCAATGGAAAAGCCAAAGCTTTTTGGCCATACTGTGCTCACACTGTGTGGCCCAATCATCGAGCCGTATTGGTTGCGAGAGGAGGAGGAGGAAACGTCACAGAGGCGTGTATGCTGTTGCCACTGCTCGATCGACCTGGCCTCCGTATTTTCCGGCCAGAAACGGACTAAAATCGGTTGCGATTCTTGTTTATTATTTGACACCAACTATATATTTAACAAAACCAACCTGCAGTCCTACATCAACGGTCATGAATGACGAGATATTTTTGAATTTGTTGCCTTTCCCCTACCATATCTCCACCAAGTGGCACACTCCTTTCTATGGTCTATTTGACTCTAAAAGGGACCATCATTTACTAAATGAACATCATGTTGTATTGAAGAAGACTTGAAACTAGCGATTGAGACCGTAAGCTCATGTTTACAATGTTTACTGAGGTAATAAATCAAGTGAGAAGTAGAGTCATCTTCTCATAGACTTCTATACAGTCGTACTTCTTTCTGCAACCAGAGAAGTCGCCCCCTGCTGGCCAGTAGAGAGAATGCAGATTTTTAAGACACTTCCGCATTGGCGTCACTTCTCCAGAAACAGCTGTTATGTCAGCTCTCACCTCTGCTGTGAACGGCGGTGAAAAACCCTGAGTCACACGAGAGTATGACAGTCAGCCTCTTGACCTTGTTCTGCAATCAGTCAGTGTATCCTTTGGTGGACTCGACTGATCGAATTCAATTAACACTCGGCCACGTTCTTATATGAATATATGTTTCAGCGGTGTACTTCCCACAGGTCACTTCATAACCACGGAGTTAGGATGTGTCTATGTCCTTGGCTTATTTCAAAGTCATGTTGCACTGGAAGTTGATTTGTAATCAATATGCGAGGAGTGAAGTTTATACCGCTCAGCTTGAGCACCATGTATCGGCTTTTTATTTGAGAAGTGAGAGGAGAGGTGTGTATGTCAGCCTCAAATTGCTAAAGTGCAAATTAGAAGAGGCTTCCCTCGGCCACTGGAAACATCCCCGCATGAGAAAACACGGCCTGAATGTAATCGTTTTGGTGATGCGTTCGAATGAATGCGCTCCGTAAGATAAAGGGATGCATGTTCACATCTAGATTTATTTTCGAATGGAGGGAGAAAAAACGCACATCAAAGTGTTTTAAATGCTCCTGTGTGTGTGTGTTTTTTTTTTTTTTTTCATATTCACAGCGACTGGACGCCGTGTGTCTAAATCATTTGGGAGGATTTAGCTGAGATGCTTTGCATTTCTTGTGCACTCCCTTTTTCATCTTCAGCTGCTTTGTAGCTTTAGCTGCTGGCTCACTGCCGCCGAGGCCGTCCACCACCTCGTATGCAACGCCAGCGGCGCTGTCAATCGCATTGACGCATTTAAACATGTCGCAGGACACTTCCACCAGCAATCTACAAAATATCTTCCCTGTGAAGGGTCTAAAACTGTGTGTTTCACACACACTTGAATGTTTTATTTATGTAGCGCCCCACAAAACAAGCCACACAGACATAAATAAGCAATGAATACATAATACAGCATTTTAGCTCTGAGAGCATTTCTACTGTCACCACCACCTGCTCCAACAATGTCAAAAAAATCACCATCAGAGAAGTCAGGTCTGTGGCAGCTGTAGCTCTGAATACCGCTACTGAAGAGAACTGTGGCGGCTCTCAAATGGCCATGAAGTCATGCTGCAGACTAATGTCTTCCCCCAACATTAATGATGACCAATCAAAATATAGCTCTCTTTTTGAACTATTAGGCTTCACTGTTTGTTTGCTGGATGCAGTCTTAATTGAGCGTCTCTTTGTCATTATGTCGGTGACATCAAACTACGGCATCATCAAATCATTGCACTCCTAAAGTGTAGAACTGTTGTGGTGTTGGCATGGATCCTATGGTAACTCAAGTTTCTTTTGCAGTGTGTGTGTGTGTGGGGGGGGGGAATCATCACAGACTAGATGCAGAACATTTAGGGTACTCCGCGATCTCAAATCCAGCCACAATCTGTGTGCTATGTCAATATTACAATAGTCCTCTAAATCAGGTGTTTCTAAACGTTTAGCCCTGCGATGCTTTAAAATGATGCAGTGTGTAGTTGTGGAGACATGAGCTATGAGCAGTTCAACCAAAGAGTCGATTTTGCCCTCTCAGATTGTGCCATTTCAAAGAGTTTTCGAGGGCTGAAATGAAATGATATAAATGCTAATTACCGCTCTGCCTCCGTTGTTTCCAATGGAAATACAGCGGCTGCTGCTCTCGTGAAGGCGCGCAGCTCTTTGACGCTGCCGTCTGGGGTTACGGTGGTTTTTCCAACTTGCCGCCGTAGCTTTTCGTGTAACCGTAAACCCACTGAGAGGGAAACGATACAGGAGCTGATTTCACTGGTGTCAGAGTTCTCTGAATGATAAACGTCTGTAACCAAGCAGATTTATTGTTCCACGAAGGAGGATGTCACACCCCTGCATGTTTGAGCTCTGGCACTGTTGTTGTCGTCAGTGCCGCTCACAGCTGCTCTTTGTCCTGAATTGGAGCGTCGTGTGTCCTCTTGATTCCGGCTTCGTTTGGACGTAGACGGGTAAACGAGGTCATGTTGCAGCCGCGTGCGACCCGTGAGAGTAGACACACGGTGGTGAACAATACCAAAAAAAACAATCCAGCTACAGCTTACCGCTCAATCGAACACTGCTATCCTCAGAAACGACTGCTCATTTCTATGATCACCATTGATGTCAAAAGAGCATTGGTTTGGCCATCACGTCTCTACAAATGCCTCCAATGTTCTTTGTGACATATTTCTTTGCAACTTCTGCTGAAAAGAACCCTTTGAAAAAGTCAGACAGAGAAAGAGAAAAACAGGGATGCTGCAGTTAGAAATTGTAGCGTAACCTGATAAAGAGGCGACATGTGAATCACACCTGTGTCTGGGATTCTGTGGCCGCCCTAATGGCCTATCATTTCTAAAACTCTGAGAGTCTCCTACTTTTTCTGTCATTGGAAGTGCCCCGGAAAATGATTTTTTTTTTTT